ACCCATTGCAAGATTTTTTTTGATTTTTACATGGACAGCAGCATCTATCCTTTCAATATTATTCTCAGCGTTTCACTGGTGTGATTTTTACTTGTGTGAAGAGAGTCTGAATGAGCTGTATAAAACAAGTAAGTTGCTTAGGGTAGAAATAGGACTTAATTTTGGAAAGGCTTGTGTTGACTGCCTACACAGATATGAAATTCAGGTTCTGTTAGATGGACTGTTTCCTTCCTAGGAAACAGTATCAGAGCTGTCAAGCAAGTTCCAGCTTTCTTCCTGCTTGATCACAAATTTCCTACCTGTAGGTACTTCCCGTAAAACACTGGGAAAAAAGGTATCTATCCTCCTTAAAATGAGGAAAGCTTGGCAAACAAAGACTTAGTGGCATAACATGAGTGGAAAACGAGAAAAGATAAATGAGACCTGTTATGTTTTTCATTTCTTATCCCCCTCCATGGTTTTAAGCCAACCTGCCAATTTATGATTTCTTATTGTTTGGATTTGGCACCGTTGCATTACGAGCTCTGTTATGAATGACTGCATGTTCTTTCTTTTGGACTGTAAACTTCCTTGGACAGGAACTATTGTTTACTATGCTTTTTTTACTGCGTCTTGCCCAATCCTTGGACCAGAGGTCTGTGGGCGACTGCACTCGCTGAGTAATAAGGGAAGGGCAACGACTTATCACCCTCTCCCTGGCAAACCGTGGCCTAGCAGGTTGCCCATAAACTGTGGTTTGAGAATCATTGTTCCAAGCTCACTTGTTTATTTAACATATTCCACACTTGCAGCCCAAGGATTATCTTCTCTTGACTACGCCAAGCATGACTTCAGGGCACAGCAGAGACTGACTATGTAACCTTCTAATTTTTTTTTTTGTTATTTTTAGTATTAGTTTGCTTATTTATATTTATAGTTTCAGAAGACACTAATGCAGCTAGGTGCCTTTGAAATCCTTGCATATTTTGGGGACTGCTTGTAGGCTTATTTGGGCAGATGATTGCTTCTTTTCAGTAAATCACTCATTTTTGAGGAGATACAATCCAGACTGCCTCTACCCTGAGGGCTTATAAATTAACCCCCTCCCCTACTACTACATATATTCAACGTGGTTTGAAATGCTAGTAGAATATGCAATACATTCACCCACAGTCAGTACATGACCAAGAAAATAAAAAGGAGCAGGAAAGCACTAGTGAACTGTGATATTGGCTGGCAGACTGAGGACCTCAGCCCTCAGAAGATGAGGAGGTAACTGTTAGCTTGTGGGTAATTTCCAGAAGGAAATGACTAGCTGCTGATTTGTAGGCAAATATGGGGTTCAGTTATGAAAAAGACATTGGATGAATTTTTCAAAATGTACTACTGATCTTTTCAGTTTCTAACGATTTTAAAGAACAGGTTCAAAGATATTTTGAGGATGTTTGATTTAAAGAGAACAAGCACTTAGTGCCTCTGACAGAATCTGCAGAGTCCCAGGTACTTTTGAAAAACTGTCGCCTTTAGTTTAACAGTAATGACAAGATGGAGGCAGTACAGAAATCAAATAGTGAAACAAATTACAGAAAGTGTATAAACAACTAAAGCAAGTGTATTTTTTATTGTATTCATCCTACATTTAAAACTTGAGATTGAATTTTTCCTTCAGTTTTATTATTTATAGCCATGTAAATCATAAAGAAATTCTGTTGATTTAGATGGGCTTATGCCATTCAAAAGAAAACTTAATTATAAACCACAAAATGTCTTAATCTGAAAACACTACAAGAAAAGAAAAATATAATCCGTTCTAAAAATATAACTCAGTCTGAAAACCAGAATTTTAAAGAACACATGCAAAGAAATGTGTCCCTAATACTGCCGTAGTTTGATTTTAAAACTATTGAAATATTTTTAATGTTTTAATCTTTAATCAGGCTTTCAACATAGATATTGAGCCACTGAAGAAAACTTGAGTCCAGATAATTTACAGTACTAAAACTTCATAGATATTATTCATTTGTGGTCAAGTTACTGTTAAGTGGTATTTCTAGAGACTGCTTTTCCTAAAAATTAAAAGAACTTCACATAGTCTATTATGTAAATACATAACATGTCTCTTGGTGTTCCTATCAGTTATGGGGTAAGCTAGAATGGTTTTAGAGCATACCAGTTTGGGTCCAAAAAGCTCTTGCTCTCTCTTTCAACCAAAAGCTTCTGGTTTGAGAGAATAGGGCCAAAGACATTGCTGTATTTATAATTTAGCAACTATACTAAATGTGAAGTTCAGTCCAATTTTGTTGGTAGTTGCTGCTGTCACATGATGATAGAAACTATTCAATCAGCATTTGGCTAAGAATAAATATACTTTAACAAACCTGAGATAACCTTGGTTTAACTTAAAAATACCACTGATGGTATTTAGTTGTGTAGGATAATGAAGAAGTAGTCAGCTTTTTAAAGTTCTATTTACATCTTGGGTTGACTCCCAAGGTAAATTGTGGATGATTTCAGGGTTATTACTTGAAATAATCCAAACCAACAAAATAACATACTTCTCCAAACACAGGCTTAACTAATCTTTTTCCATTTCTGATATTGCAGTCATAATACAATTTGTTACAATTTAATTTGTTAAAGTAGTTCAGAAACTGAGGCCTGCTGTTAGTAATCAAAAGTAGTTTCATTTTGTAACGGCAGAAGTGAAACTCTTCAGACTCCTCTTCCTGGAGTATGTTATTTTGAATATATGCTATTTTTGGACACTGCAGAAAAATGCAAATTCATAATGTTCTAATTGGGCCAGAAATATGAACCCCAATAGATTAAACCACATGATTGTGCTACCAGCTTCTAAGATGCCAAACAGAAAAAGACACAGAGGTCTCTGTTTCTTGTGAAGTATGATGAACAAAGAGAACTTTTCATGTTTATTCTTCTGCACCCTAAAGAAAGAGGACTGTCCAAAATAGTGCCATTGTGGAATGATGCAACTAAGACAGAGGATTCAACCTTATAGTGACCTCTTCATCATCCTTCAGCCCGGTATCAAATTCTTCCTACTGCTCTGCATTTAAGAGATTTCAAAAACACTTCTTTAATGGTGTTTAAAGCTCTTATTGCCAGATAAAGAACAAAGACTATTTGTACGATTAAATATTTATGATGCATTCCTAGCAATGCCCCTCATATACACACCCCTCAAATCAATTGCCTACTCCGAGTTACAGTGCTTGAGAGCTTAATGCACAACACTGCATGCAGGATACACAAATTCTTGATTTGTGAGTAAATAACCAAGCTATACCTCATCCTATGCTTATATATGCTTTTAATATATTCCCAAGAAAACAATGTGTTTAGAAAGAATATGCATTTTCAACAGGCATATTGATATACAGATTTTATTAAGCAGAAGGATTTTGTGCAAATGTATGTTTAGAGGAACTTTTATTTTGGCATGTGCCCCTTGTAAAAGAAAACATTGCCCCCTTTACGAATTGCTTTCCAGTGTCTTTGTGAAGGAACGGGGAGACCATTAACGAGGCCGGGATATTTCTCAGTCAGCCGGCAGAGGGAGCCCCGCAACAGGGCAATCGGGTCCCTACCCGAGTCCCTTCGTCGCAGTTCCTGAAGTTTCTACTGTACAGGAGGTTAAAGTGAGACGAAATGCGAGCATCACCCTAATGAATCTTTCTCTAGCTGTGTTTCACAGGCTAACAAAAGATAATTAACAAAACTGTAATTTTCTATCATGCTTTCTTTTGTTGAGAACAAAGGAGACTAATAGCTAAGTTCCCGTGGTCTGCCTTCCCTACTCCTAAATTAATACGAAATGACCCCTCAAAGCTTCAGCATGTGTTTAAAGTGCCTTTCCGATACAGTGCTGTGCAGTTTCAATTCTGCTGCAAACGCATCACGCAAACATCTGTGACTCATCTATGCCTGAAGACAAAAAGGGGGTGGTCTAGCACAGGCTGAGAAGAGCCAAGAAAGAAAAGATCACCATACCCGGAATTTCTTTATAAGACAACATCAAAATGGGCATATGCATCGGCCTTGGTTTGTAGTGCACAAAATGGACCTTCCAACTGTTTTTCCATGCAGTTATTTCTGAGAGCAGTTAACCCAGCGAAACTGGATGTGCTCCATGTTTTACCACTCAGCTTATTTTCTTCGAACATATGTGTTTACTTCTCAAACTGAAGCAGTAATCTTGCCATTGTCTTTTGTAATCCGTATTTGTAATAATGCAACATTGCTGACATTGCTAACAAACCACTGAGTTTACTGAGCAAAGGGGACTACTCTGACAACACCGCTTTGATAACACAGACCTCAGCAAGTACAGTTCTCATTAGTTCTACGGGAGCAGGACTGAAGGGGCTAATCTTTTTCTCTGCATGGGTATTTTGAAAATCCTTTCTCTGTTGTGTACCAGAGCACTTAAGTAAATATATAAAACTAAGCTTAAGTTAATTACTGATTATTTAAGTAAATGCTAACAGATTTTGCTGACTAGCAATGGTCTTAAAGCAGGGGTTTGAAATCAAATCTGTGCTCAGCAGACTGAAGGCTAATGAAAGACTCAATACCAAAATCTTTACTCAAGCTTAAATTCATAAAATGAAACCCCAGTTCCACTAAAGTGAATGGAAAAACTCTCTGTGATTTAAAAAGGATCAGGGTTTCTGACACTGGCCTCTGTGTGAGTTTTGCCTGAATAGGGCTATGCAATGGGCCCAGAAGTTTTTACACAAAGGCTGATGTGAAGAAAACCAGACATTTGTATTCATGGAACTCGTTGAGGTGCAAGATTTTCAGCATTGCTGAAAACAAGCCTCCTCCTACTAGCAGGAGAAGCACAAATATAAACTCCCCACTCCCCAGCGGGGGGAAATAAACCGATGCCGATCACTCTCCAGTACTCCACCTCCACTGTGGAGCTATTTTAGGACTCAGCCTTTGAAGGAAGTCCTTTGTTCACTTATAAAAATAAATATAAACTCTTTTCTCTTTACCTGCACTGGTGCCTGCACCGGTTGTGAGGTCCCCACCCATCAGGCCACCTAGGGGGTTGAAATGAAATACTACAAATGAGCACGACAAATGGTAACGGGCAAACATCCAAAACATTTTCTCCAACTTCAAACATCCTGCTCCAGTACCCACCATGGTTTTTCTCTGACTTCAACAGGCAGCAGATCAGACCCATAGTCATACAATTGTAATGTTTAATGTTACCCGTACGAATCATTTGCCTTTCAAGGACAAACGAAATATGTAGTACACAACATTTCATTATTTCATTTTCATGCTTCCACGGCATATGAAAAATCAATTATACTTGAAAGTTATGTATAGTAGTCCTTCATTTGAAACCTATCTTTAGTTCAGCGTTAGTCAGAAAAGCAAAGGCTTCCACATAGGACTGGGAGGAAGAGACTGAAAGTTCCTGGAGAAGAATGTAACTCAGAAGCTACAATACATATTTACATCGCTTTTCATGTTAATTTCATCAGCATTTCACAGACATTCACTCTAAGGATTTTTAAACTTCTCTTTGCTCTTGGGGACCTCAAATGGTTCTTTGAACTCATTGTACTTAAGGATGTTGCTTCAGCCAGACAGATTGAATGAGCTTAATCCCCATTTATGCTATTCAGAGGTGAGCCCTCACCTCCGTCAGAGCAAAGCACAGCCTCTTACTCTACAAGTCACTCAGGCACAGAGCTCAGCTAGCATTTACCCATCAAGAAACTTGTGAATGCATAAATAATAATAAATTCTGTGTTTAGCCTCTAGACTGATGACTTCAGTAACGAGTGTCCCTGTTCTTCTTGCTTCAACCTGTTTGCATTGGCTACATTTTCTCCCCTGACCCCTTAAGCTTTATGGTGTAGCGAGTTCTTGCATGAACAAAGCTGCAAAGCTGCCTTTTTATGAAACAGCAAATTGTCTGCCTTTTTATCTTTTATTGATTTCCCTTAACCTTAGTCAATATTCAGCTTTTTCTATAACCTTTTTTTTTTTTCTTTTTAATTTTCTAAATTTGGAGTAGAAACCCCTTTTGATTTTTCAACACAGCAATTTAGGACAAACCGCTATGGCTGGAAAAATCAGAGTTCTTTTTCTCAGAGTACAGTTTCAAGTGACTTAAGGCACACAAGCAGCTGATAAAAGAGCACTTAGAGGGATGGCACTGAACAGAGCCTACCTGTGTTACCTGCACTTGGAGGCCGATGTGTCACGCCAGGAGACATGCTATTTCTTTGCAAAGAAGGATGAGCCAGCGGCAAAAGGTTGGGGTTTCCCAGCGAGCTGACTGGGTTACTGTATACCAGACTGTTGTGGTTGGACACTGGGATAGACACTGGCATCTCAAAGTTTGGTGGTGGAACAGCCTGTACAAGCAAAAAAGGGAAACAAAGATGAGAATAGTACAGAAGTACAACAGCCTTCAAGTACAGTTACTCTATATTTAGTTCAAATATTTTGTAGTTGGTGGTTAGAATATTTACACTTGTCCCCCTCCCCCAAGCTTCAAGAGAAGAATTTCAAAAGATTTCCCAAGGCTTTCAAATACGATTTTTCAAATCATGATTCTGTCTTCTTTTAATGCAGGTTACACATTTACTTTGTAAGAACCGGAAAGATATTTTTTTTTCTGTTTAAAACAAAACCCTGCTTCATGAAGCTTAATTTTCTTTTCCTTTCATTCTGTGAAGTCGTAACTGCTCGCTTGTGATATCTTAATCTAGTGTCACAGATGACTGCAAGATCAAAGGTACGTGATTACGATGACTTCATCACATGGAGAAAAATTAGAAGGGGTGGAATGCAAAAGGGAAAGCTTTAATTTCAGCTAGTGTTGCTTTAGCAACCAGAACGATTCCAAACCACATTAAAGGCACCAACACAGTAAATTACTTATTTAAAAGTTTCTATCTTAGCTTGGAGGAACTTAGAAGAAACAAAGTTCTACTCAGGGACAGGCAGCAAATACAGGAACTTTGGACACCCATCAGTCTTTGGGTTCTTTGTGATTTGTTTTTTGTTTGTTTTTTTGGGATGTTATTTTTTTTGGGGGGGGGGAAGGTGGTGTTTGATGACACCTTTTCAATATACTGTCTTTATACTTTAAGGCAGGATCCTCTCCTGAGCCACTTCCCTTTGCAAGAATCCCTTTAAAAAAAGAACCACATTATGGACCACTCTGACTGAGTGTGTGAGGAGATGCAGTACCTGATTCTGATTATGCTCTTAGAAAGCCCAACTCAGGTCTTTTTGGTTGATTGGGAGTTTTGTTGGGTGGCTGTTGCCTGAATTTCTTCCAAACTTATGACTCTGGTGGCATTCAAATAAGTTACACCTCCAGACTTAATTTACTTGGTTTTAAAACAATTAATTTCTTTCCTTTGTGAAAGGAAAGAAAACTTTTTTGGAATTGCCTGACAGCATTTTAAACATTCAAATACCTGAATGCAAATGAAGTGCACCTTAATTTGCCATTTAATAATCTTGTAAGCTTCAGGAGTCTAAACTTACCAAAAAGCTCTTTAAACCAGCCTTCAGAGGGAGGAAATCACAGATTTTAATTTTGCTGCTGGCAGCTGATAGTACTGGTAAGTCTTCAAGGACCTAGAGGGAGTATGTAGCGAGCTGGACACATAATCTGCTGTGTCAGGCAACAGAGGCACCCTGACCTTGTGCCACCCACACGTCTCTTCTCCGGCTGGCCAGAGCTGTTGGCTGTGCCCTGCGTACTACAGCCCTGGCCGTCAAATTACAGTTATCCCTTAAGGTCCTATTTATTTATTTATTTATTTTTGTCCTGTCCCCTTTCTAGAGGCAGACATAATTTTGCTCCAAATATAGAGGAATCATTTTGCTTAACCACTGAAACACACAGCAAGATTTTAGTTCAGAGTATGATGTGAAGGACACATTACACGAATGCCTGGAGACTTATTTCACAGCGTTAATTTAGCTGTGAAACCCTCTACGTGGCCTGGCTTTGTGAGAGACGGCCATAGCTTAGGGGCTGAGATCAGGGAAGGCACTCGAGCAGACGGACTTGCTGGCTTTGCTCCCCAGCCGAGGCTGCACGCTGGGACTTGATGTCCCTCGCCCAGAAGCTGAAGAGCAAGGGCCGTATTTTTAATAGAGTTCATTGGTTTAAGTAGAAGTGGGAAGGAGAGGTGTCTTGGGGTTCTACATGTGCCGTGTCTAAGGAGCAAAACTACACGTGGTGCTAGGTCTGTGCAGGGATCCTGAAACGTATTAACGTTTGTGTACATTCATGTTTGTGTCTCACAAATAGGAAAAAAGAGAATAAATGATTCTGTGATGGAAAAGGTAATTGCTGAAGTGTGTTCTTTGTTTCTTTCAGAAGGAACTTTTTTTTTTTTTTCCGTGCGGATGTTCTTACAGTTGAAGTCCAGCTCAAAAGCTGCATGTGTGACTTGTCTTCCAAAGGACAGTTAATGAAGTACACAGCATAAGGAGTACCGGTGTATGTCACGACTGAGGTCTAGGCTTCTTGGAAATAGGTTCACACAGCATAATCCGAAACTTTTTATCATCCTGAAAGTATGTTTTGAAGCAAGGCATTCTCCTTCACTTGGCCACAGAAAGGCCCAAGAGGTTGCCAAATCCCATGTAAGCCAGAAGCGCATCGCTGCTCCTGGGACTCAAGATCAGCCGCTGCTGCTGGTTTCTGCCTTTTCAAAAGGTTTTAGCCAGTCAATTCACATGAGGATAGCTGTCTTAGCTCCACGTCCAGCCTGATGTGAGACATGGACATGCCAACATGGAGTCTCTTGTTACTGCAACGCTCAGGACTGTGGTGGAGATCTCTGCCAGGTGGCTTCCAGCACATGGTCCTGCCTGCTCGAGTGCCAGCCCACACCGGCTTGAGCATCACCCACTTTGACACAGTGCCTACTTCACCTCTGTCATGGGAGCTGTGAACTCTGCCCTCGGAGCCTGCGTAGACACCAATATTGCCTCTGTTTTCTTATTTTCCTAGTCCCAATTTCTGTTGAGTTATCTAAATTAAAACACAGGTACAAATGCAAATCTGAAGGTTTTGCCAATCCTCAGCAACCTTGTCTGCTTTCATCTTTATGCTCTGTCTTTCTTCCATGTACAAACCAAACCCTTCAAGGGCTGGAACCTTATTTTTTTCTGCGTTAGTACAGCACAAAAGAGCTCCAGTCTTGGTTGCTTTTGCGGCTGCCAGTCTCACTAGTCATCACTGAATCATACAAACATTGCTGAAACTGTTAACTTTCTTTTCGTCATTTTAAAAATATTTTTTTAAAATGGTTACATTATTTTCTTAATTTCTTTAGTTTCAGGTTTTATTTTCACCATTTTACCTACTGTCTGGTTATCCTCACATCTAATTACAGAGTACTTCATAGGCAATTTTATCAGGGCAAAGCCAGTTTACTCTCTGCTTTGCAGCATAATACACACTATATCTGGAATACAGTAGGTTTTTTTATTTTCCTCAGTAGTCAAAGGTTACAGAAAGAAGTCTGTCTGGGTGAGCACCGGTATTAAACAGTGTCTTTAGCCAGTTTTGCTCTGGCTGCCCAAATTTTGTTACACTCTTATATGTCCACCAAGAACTGCAACCTCCTGCAGATTCCTTAGTCGTTCTCGGTGGTAAGTCACGGGGCATATCTATTCCAGCTAGGCCTGATGGACATTAAAGCTTATGAGGCACTTGTGTAATATCTATATTAGTAAATCAAAATTGCCTAGGAACTGAGGCCATCTGAGGCCACAGAGCGGTCCATGTCCATACTATCAAGCTTTCTCAACCTCAAAATCGTCATGACTACACATAAACTGACAACTGGGAATTGTTCCTGGCCTGGGCTAACGACCAAACGGAGCTCAGAAATTGTCTGGGAGAGCGTGATTTGGCCGGTGCCAAAAGCATGCCAGGGGCTGTTCAATTATTCAGGGCAGAGATAGGCACCTCCTGCTGCCTCCGCACGTTCTTTGCCATTTGCTAATTTACTAACATAGATGCAGCCTTACTCTAAAGCGTATCCAGCTTGCCACATTTCTTTGGTTTGTTGTTTTTTTTTTTTTTTTGTCTGTCTTTTCTGCTTTGGACACAATTGCCAAAGAGGGCAGATGGCTCACCGGAGAGGACGCTGTGCTAGATGCGCGCTCCACAAGCTGTGGCATGTCGTGCAAAGCAAAGTGTTGGGGACTCAAAACCCTTGGAAATTAATGGACCAAACACTCTGTGTTAAATATTGCTTTTATTCTTCCCATGTTCAACCAGGCCTTCATTTATTCAGAGACAGAGATACTTATAGCTCCCTTCTAGTGGACTATTTCTGTCTCCTCTGCTTTCATCACTCTTATGAAAACTACAAATAAATGTCTAATTATTATCAGATGTTTTAGAACAATATAAATACTTATCCCCAGAAAATTATCTGAGGAAACATTATTTGCCTTAGCTGTTAGAAGCAAAAGCCAATTTTGTTTTCGTTTGGCTGCTGCTTTACTCTGTTACAAGATCAGGCACAGGCATTGCATTGTTTTGTATATATTGTAAGTAGTGATTTAATGACTCAACTTGGTGACTTTTTGTTCAGTTTTGCTCTCTTCCCTCCCGACCTTCTTGGCTGCCTTTGGTGATCACAAGCAAATGAATATAATTTCCATGACTTCCCTAAGGTTATACTAATTTGTACAGCTAATGACATTATTGTATATAATACAATGCATTTTACATATGTATAAAATGTATATATTATATTTACAAATTTCCATCATGTATTAGCTTTGAGCTCCATCTCTCCCATTACATCTTGGCTTACGCCAAGAGAAGGAGCTCCTGTTGCATCAGGGGAGGACACCTACTGATTCTTCCTTTTGTGGTGAGCAGCTTGACAGAGTGCACAGACCTTGAGCTCTGCATGTGAAGCATTCAGAGAAGGGATATCCTGTCTCACATGAAAAGAAACGCTAACATTTTGCAGTTCTATGTCTCTGAAGTATCTCTGAAGTAATTTCACAAAAAGATAATACGTTGTACCTTGTAACATCCCTGCGAGGTAGGAAGTTACACTATACCCAAAATACAGCTCAGGAAACCAAGTTAATCACGAAGTTAATAGCTGAAATAGGACTATATTTGACATCAAAAGGTTAATTTTAATGAAAGCAACCTGAGGGAGGTTTTTTTTGGGAGGACGAAAGTGTTGTACCATATTTAGATTAACTGTGTTGTTTCTAATTCCTAGAACTTTCCTAGTTTTATAGAAATTTTTCCCAAATGCTTTTAGAGGTAAAGGAAGTGATAGAACTCACTACCACAGGAATGAGTTTTTTTCCAGGTATTTTTCTTTAATGTCTTAAGATTTCAGATGGTTATAACATATGCTGCTTTCTTGGAACAAAAATAGGTAGCATGGCAGAAACAGAGTATCTGAAGGACCACACAAAACACAATTTTTAAGGTGAAAAAAGTAGCTTGGTTAAATACTATCTGATTGAAAATTCCATCGCTTGGATTTGAAGAAGTCAAAGGTCATCTTCGAAAGAGGAAAGGAATGGCAATTGGTGAGAATTTGACATGTAAAAGGGTTAAGCATTCCAGCTTACAACAGTCACCATAAATGCTGTAGTGATCGTTTGTCAAACTGAATTCCATCCTGAGAAACCAAATTCATGGTGACAGCTTTAGAGCTTTTTTTCATGGGAAAAACAGCTATGCAAAAGAAGCAAATAAAAAGGGAAGTAAAAAAAAGGTGGAATATAGATGTGTATTCCTCCCTGATTTTTTATATACATGTTAAGCTTCCTTAACCAGCCATTCCAAATACTAATTTATTAAATTTTGTGCCACCCTGGTCTTTGGGAAAATCGTTATTATTTAAGTTGTTGTGCAAAAATATGTTTTCAATGATGTGAGAACTTCTTCAAAATATAATTAGTCGAGTGAAAATCCTTCTGATGAGAGCTAAGGGAAAGAACACTTACATTGCATGAGACAGAATCTGAGCATCCTTAAGAGGTGTCCTCAGCTTGGGTATCAGATTTTGTATGCGCAATTGACTAGCACTACAGAAGAGACTTCGCTCATTCTGGGTGTGCAGACATTATTTTTGGCAGCTAACCATAAAACCTACATGTGGGAACGAGGGATGAACACATCCAGATGACCTCTTTTAGAAGCAAGCAGTTACCTATGCAAATTCAGACGCTTCTTTGGACCTGGGCAAACCTTTGGTTTGCTGCTTTCTCTTCCACACACTTTTAGAAGAAGGGCCAAATACAACCTCCAAACCTCCACTTTCTTTTTGTTGGCTTTATAAATGTAATATTAAACACAATGACCAGGTGTTTTCCCCTTGTATGTCTTGTGCAAACAAAATAGCACATGCAGAGTTATTTCTCTTAGACATCTGGCAAGGCATATGACTGACGGTTAGAAATTTTGACTTGGTTAAAACAAAATTTAGCTCATGTTAAAGCATTAAAGAAATGCTGACGAGGTCAAAGCAAATTCTCTGATAAAGCTGTAAAATCACCCCAACACGCAAACATGTCTGAATCCTACCATTAGGCTCTCATGCAGTCTGTTTCTCTGCAGCGAGCAAGTAGCTGTAACCCTTCAGTGCTGCAACTGAGCTTAGCAGAGACGCTTGAGAACTGAAGTGACACGCACAGAACGCACTAATTACTATACATAAAGGAATTTCGGTTCTACATCGTCTTTTCTGTATCGCCACAGAAAGTATTCTGTGGGTTTGTTAGCCTGTCCACAAAGAAAGATTTCCATCGTTACTTTTTAGATATAATTTGGGTGAGCGGTGTGGTAAAACAGTTCTGTAAATCAAGTGAATATAATGTATATACGTATATTTCACTTCCTTCTGTAGGTTTCCCCTATTGTAGGCTTTGTCTGCGTGTCAGAGGTAGAGACTTGGAAGAAAAATATGTCGTGTGAAACTTTCTGACCACAGTATTTAATTATATATCGGGCTATGAAAGCCTGTTTCCAGCTGAAATGATTTCCTTAAGAAGCCAGAACTGAAAGGGTTATGGTTTGTTACTGCAGCAGTTATCAGCAGACAGCCATCTAACCTTTGGTACTTACAGGTATTTTATGGCTCTTGATCATATTATCAAATTCTTCATTAATTTTTTTGTATTTTTCTTCAGTGCGTGGGGTGAGAGCGTAAGAGGAGTCAGGATCGGGGCTTTCACAACCTTTGTTTTCTTTCTTGTTCAATGCCTGCCAGGTTCAGAGAAATATCAAAAAGTAAAAAAAATGAAAGGGAGCTCAGAGTACTTACACATAATCTTTGCCTGCTGATCATTAGATCAATATCTTCATTAATCTTTCTGTACTTGTCCTCAGACTCAGGGCTGTGACCTACTGAATCGTCTGCATCGGGGTCTGGACTGTCACAGCCATTAAGTCCTTTCTTTCTCAACGTCTGAAATACATAATTTGCAAAGTTCAATCCTTGACACAGGCTGCAAGAAAGACTCAGCAGTGTTACAGTAACCCAAACTGCCCAGCAGTGGAAGGTTTTGCATTGTACTTTAGGGGAGGAACAGTGACCGCAGATCCGTCACACTGATGCTGTGGGTCTCCAATTACGGGGCTGCAAGAGGGGACTGTACAGACCTCTTCCTTCTGAAACTGGAATCCGTCAATAAAGAATGAAGCTGGCAAGCTGGCAAAATGCCTGTGTTAGTACCTTCCCTCCCACCATATCTGACAGCGTTAAGGGGTTAAGGCACCCACCCAGAACGCCGCTCATGTTAACATCTTTACCCATTTGAAATGGACGAACGTTAAAAGCGATGGATGCGTACTGTTTACAGCAGAATACCCTGACGTTTTCCTTTTCTCTAAAGGAAGATACAGGAGGAAGAAATGAAGAAAAAACTGCAGCAAATGTTCTTCACAGAAGGAGGAATACCTAAATTGAATTCTTCCTTTGAACTGGATGTAAGCGATGACATTAGCTATGCCCTGCCATTCCTAAGTGTATGTTTTTGATAGGACAAGGGGGAGGACAGAGCTGCTAATGTGGCTGTGAAATACCGATTAAGAGCTTCTAGATACGGTGTTTACTTTTTATTGACTCCAGTTACAGTGCTACAAATGCACAGTGCTGAAACTTAATGTACAGGAAAAAGCTGGGCTAAAACAGATGCTTAGTGAAAAACCAGAATAGATGAATTTCAAGTTCAGC